CATCTGAGCGCAATGAAAACTAACCTGTGCAGAAATTTACTATAACAAATTTTGACTAATTGTTTCAGAGAGAATTTACAGATAATTCTTGTAATATAAAAACAAGATTATCTTATAAAACAGTGATAATGCATTAATAATAAATATTCGCATGTACATTATTAGTTCTTCAATTTATTTCGAGGGGTTTTAGCACCTTAGAAGCCTCTCTGACTACTAAACTGTATATTACAGATATTCAAAAATGTATTGTTTTCAGATTTCTTCTATAAATTTTCATTTAATTATATTTATTTATTTTTTTGCTTATTTGTGAGTTAACATAAAAAATAATTTTAAAGTCAACTAAGAACTCAGTTGGTACACAAGGCCGTCACTCCAACCTAATCTATCCTAACCTAACTACAAATAAGGAACTGAACTGCTAGGTCCTTCGCCCGTCATTTAATTATAAAATGTGCTAGATGATAGAAATTATATTTTATTTTTAGCTTACATATATAAGGGTTCAAAGGGTTTTTTCCATGTTCAAATTTAAATTAATTCTTGTAATAAAAGACTTCTGCCAATTAATCCTGTTCCCACAAGTGAAAAAAAATTTTTTTTTAATTAAGAAGTCTGAAAATTAATATACAATAATAGAAGAATAGAATAGAATACAACATAAAATTTTTTATCAAAATCTTACAATATAAATTAGATATTCATGAGGTCAAATAAACAAATTATTCTTTATATCAAACTTTTGTTTTATAATTATAATAATTTTATAATTATTTTAATTAGTTACAACGAAATATTGTCTGAGGTTTTAAAAATATGCAAATAAGTTTCAGAGCATATAAATCAATATTTTGTTTTGTTGATATTCTTCCAAAAATTTTTGCTCTTAGTTAGAACTCAACCAATAATCTAGGATTTGTTGCCACGAGTGTCAAATATAATTTATGTTTCTTTACTTTAGAAAAATGATTTAAATTAAAATAAATTTAGCGCCCACCCGACGCAAGCCGCAAACAGAGCAAACAGTCAAACATTGAACGCTTTAGGCTACCAAAAAACTCCGCTTGTTTGTTTGTAACTAATTAAACAATATAGTTTTATTTAAATTTTTTGCAGCTTCTTAGTTAAAAATCAAAGAAAATAAAACAAGTCTTCTGCTCACGATGATCAAGTCTAAGTCAATGAATTTTTTTTTGTATTTATTTTTGACTGAAATTAAATGATTTCTGCTTGTGATTCGGTTTTGAAGGGTGTGAGTTTAAAACTCACAACCAAAAATAATTTATCAATACCAAGATCTAAGATTTTGCCAATGAAATAATATTGAGACGAGAGCCAAAAGCTGGAAATGCTACTTCCGTACTCGCCCGACAGAGAGGAAGAAACGATAAAATTGATGATAGAGACAATGGTCTATGGACGTTTACAAATAAATTAAATAAGTCGTGCATTTGTATATAAATAATAAATTTTTGAGTTGTTAGCATCATTCAATTGTTTGAGTCTATTGGAGTAAAAACACAGTTTGAAAAATGGTATGCAAATGTGCACATGAATATGGAATATGGTGTCGTCAACTAAACTTGCTTAACTTGATTTCTTTCAGAAATTCTTCATCGTTGCCTTAGCCTTAGTGGCGTGCGTATGCGCTGATGTATCAGAGTTAGGAGGTGGATATAACTATCATCAACCAGCTGCTGCAGCACCTGCACCAGTATACGCTGCACCAGCACCAGTATACTCTGCTCCAGCTCCAGTATACTCTGCTCCTGCTCCAGCTGCCGCCGCTCCAGCACCAGTCTATGCTGCTCCAGCTCCAGTATACTCTGCTCCAGCTCCAGTTTACTCTGCACCCGCACCAGCTGCCGCTGCCCCAGAGCCAGTATATGCTGCTCCAGCTCCTTCTTACTCTGCCCCAGCACAATCTTACTCTGCCCCAGCTCAATCTTACTCTGCTCCAGCACAATCTTACTCAGCTGCCGCTGCTGCTCCAGTAGCTAGCTATGCTTCAGCAGGTTCTGATGATGGATACTCATACAATGCACCAGCTGCCGCTGCACCAGCTCCAGTATACTCAGCTCCCGCACCAGCACCAATTTACTCTGCACCACAACCAGCTGCTGCCGCACCTGCTCCAGTCTACTCTGCTCCAGCACCAGCTCAATTATACGCTGCTCCTGCACCAGCTGCCGCTGCTCCAGCACCAGTATACTCAGCTCCCGCTCCAGCACCAGTTTACTCTGCACCACAACCAGCTGCTGCCGCACCTGCTCCAGTCTACTCTGCTCCAGCACCAGCTCAATTATACGCCGCTCCAGCAGCAGCTGCCGCTGCCCCAGCTCCAGTCTACTCTGCCCCATCTCAAAGCCAGGATTTGCATAGCGATGGTTACAGATACAAGACTGTCCGTAGATTGAAATTCAGACACCGTGCTTAAGGTACTCGCAAACTGTGATCGATTTTGTTACTAGCAACGTTCTTTGTTGTTCGAACCTATTTTGTTTTTGACACGAATTAAATATTTTATAAGAACTCAAAAGCAATATTTCGTTTTTATTTGTTCTAAGGAAGTAGGAACTACAGCAGTGTATCTAAGAAGTATTAAATACTTTGATATATACTTTGATACAATAGTCCAACAGTGGAGGTACTGTCATGAACAGTTAATGATGTAGGCTATATAACTACAATATATAAGGGTACTTATTGTTTGCAAGATATTTATATTTTAAAGTAATTATTTACTTTTAGTTCTGAAATTATTCATTTTTTAAAATGCCTTAGCAAAAATTTAATTTTCGAGGTTCTTGTTATTGATTAAAACCACGAAAAGCAGAAATCTCATATGGACTGGTAAGCTAAGAAACTCTATCAAATCATTCACAAGGAGATATGAGAGTAATTAAAGTTGGATAGGCATTGATTTATTGGTTTCTATAAAGTCGAAAATTGACTTGGTTTCAATAATTGTCACAATAATCAATCTTTATAAAATATCGTACCGAGTGGATGATATTTGTTGCGACCCTATGCTCCTTCTAGGAGTTAAAGGATTAAATATATAAAACTGGCAATCGGAATGTAGTCTCCCTGGTTTCAGTGTTTCTTTAATAACCAGTCCCTAGTCTTATATCAGAAGGAGATAAAAAAGGAACTGAAGACTGTTGGATATACTTTTATTAGTCATTATAGAGTTGTCAACTGACTTGGTTTCCATAATTGTTATAATTATCAATTTCCATAAAGCAGTCACTTTGACTGTGATCTCTGTGGTTTCAGTGTTCCATGCAGGTCTTGGTAACTCATTTTTCAGTGTACTGGAAAAATTGTTGATTCTTTACAATTCATACATATGAGCTAAGTGACTTATTTCAAAACAACTATGTCAATATTGAAATACCTATAGGTATCCCGCTTATCTTTGTTATCCTACTTAGAGTGCATACGATATATAAATTTGATCTATTGATGCCTTGTAAGTTTGTTAATTTTCAATATATCCAATATTTTTGATTTCTTGTGTTTTTTGTACCTATAACTCTTTCGAATATAACATATGCCATTTTATCAAGAACTGTTTTATATATAGTATATATCACCTCACACAATAAGTTTCCGGGGAGTGGCATATATAACAACACTATTGACAAACTTATAGGGTTTATGGTGAGTAATATCCTTCAAACTACACATCCTTCATACAAATATAATGCTTTTTAAACTATATGAACTTGATGAACGTATTATATTATTTAGAAAACAAAATATTAGTAATATAGCAGCTGATTTCGGATTGGATGCTTTGTAAATTATTTATTTTGCAAGCGTTAGAATAAGACAACCTTTTTGCTACTTTAAAAAATTAAGGTGTTAAATAAAATGAAACGCATTAAAAGTTCTTTCAACTAATTAATGTCACTCATATCCTAAGAAATGAATGGTTAGATCTTTCTGATTTATTTAAGTTTCAAAAACAGTTTTCTAACATAACGAAAGTTCTTCGTAGGATTTTTGGTCCTTTACGAGTTGGCGACGAATACCGGATATGAATGAATCACGGGCAGTACCATCTTTATCACGACATTAATATAATCTAACAAATTAACATCTAGCGGCTTCGCTGGCTTGGTTTTGTCGTGAGAATGGATGAAGATGCTCCAACGAAAAAGTTATTTAAAGCAGTAATTGATGATGAAGAAGTAGAGGTAGACCGTTTTCCGGTGGAGTGACCAAGTTAAGGTAGCACTAACCGGACTTGATGTACGAGACTGGAAAAATTGCGCACGCAGCAGAAGCGCCTGGAGTGACATACTGCGTCAGGCCGAAATCCGGTAACGGGTTGTTATGGCCAAATAAGTAAGTATGTATGAAAAGAAGACTGAAAACTTCATCTAATTGATTTTATGGGGTGCATCACTAACCTTAATCTGTGTGTGGGCTACACTGAGACATATTTTCTGGTAACAATAATAAATATGTCAAAAAAAAACGATAAAAATTTGGTGAATAAAACTGGTGGCAAATACCAAACGTTTTACCAATATCACCTTAGCAAAAAATTCTGGCATAATAGTTCTTACAGGTATAACTATAGTGAGAACTGAATATGCATAAGTTTTAAAATACAGAATAAGTATCTGAGAAAATTCAAGAAAAAATTCCATCAAATTTAAGTCTTTTTCTAATTAACAAACAAACTAATTGCCAATTAAATCAATATCATTATAAATGTTCATTAAAATTATAAATAGATCTGTTATATCTAAAAATAAATCGTTTATATATTAACAAAAAAAATATATATATATATTTACAAAATTTAATTAAAAGCAACAATAAGTAAAAAACCACTGATTTATAAACGTTTTAAAAAATTCATCAAAGAGAATTACATAAAATTCTAAATCTGAATGGTAATGAGCTTACCGGCGCTTTAGCCTTGAAATAATGATTCAGCAGCGGCACACGAAAATGTTAAGGGTCTCAACATTTGGAGCAATGATAACAACTTGGGAAAGAAACTATACAAATGATATATGTGCATAGTCGTATACATAATTTCATTATATATTAAAAAGATTTTAATGTCGAAAATTAAAAATCATTATCTGACACAGTTTGTCGAAGTCATTCCAAGCGATTTACAAGCAAAAAATAATAATAAAAAAATATTACTTAATTGGCTTCAATCTGATATAAATTTATCTGAAACAAGTTTAATATTTTTATTTTCGATATAAATTTTAATGGCATTTTAAATTATTAGTAAATTTATTTGATATACTTTATTACCCTACAAGTGGCAAAGAGTTCAGCACATACCTACACACATGGCTTAAGCATGATTGAGCAGTTTTTACAATGTAATGATTTGGTGATAGTTTGTCAATAAATACAACAAAAAAGGGAAAGTACATATTAGATACAGGAAAAATATTGAAAAAATTTAAAAAATTAAATTGTTGTTAAAAATACTTTCAAGGAAAACGACTGAAAGTAATTTATACCAATTGTGCTATTTATCTAATATTATTGCGTTATTGTGTTAAGATCTTATCTTTGCATGTGCAAAGCCTTATTCGATTATCACGAAAATAGAGCTTAGTTTATTGTTGAAAATATATATAAACTAAGATATTTTTATGCGATCTCTTTCATATGGAGAGATCGTTTCATATGAAAACTGTCTCAAAGGGATAGCCGTTACCAACCTCTTTGTGTACGATCTCGGGAGATTTGTGGGAGAAAAGTTATATTATAAATTCTACCAAAAAATTATATAAAGAATTTGTTTGGAAAAATTGTGTTTATAAGTGTGATGTCTCTTCAACAGAAAAAGTTTTTACCACATCAATTTTGTATTGTTTAGTGTATTACTTAGTGTTTTACTAAAATTTTGTAAAACTTAAGGCCAAATTATGCAGACAGTTAATGCCGAATGGTCACGTCTGTTTTATACTTTTTATGGTCATGACCATGAAGCTCTGTTATTTAGATAGTCGGATACCAATTGTCAATTTTGCACGGTTACTATTATTATAATATATTCTGGTTATCCTTGAATTGAAAGATAATTTTTATTTGTATGAATATGTTTACTTTTTTAGTACTTTTCTCTAAAAAGGAACAAATCAATCCTTATGTTATATATTTTTGTGTGATTGTAAGGATATCAAAATTATGAGACTTT